GAGGCAGGAATGGACAGGGCAGCTTTCGTAATTCCTGTTGTGCTGTATTTGTGCCTCCAGCCAGTGCTTTAACATTTGGACTCAAATTGTTTTGAGTACCAAGCTTAGATGTATTAAAAGGAAACATGGTAATTGATAGAATTACCTCTATATCCCATTAAAAATTGTGATATTGTGAGAAAACACTTAACAATATTCTGATTTTTAGCTATGTTAGCTACATTTTGAAGTGTCTTATCCTTAACAGATGTTGCAGCAGAGGTATGTGATGAACTGGGAAGTAACCTGAGTTAATCATTGCAGTTTATTTTTCTTTAAACTCTAAATCTTCTTTGAAAGATACCTCATCTTTTTTAGGCAATAGAGCTATAGATGAGAGAACTTCAGTTCAGGATGGAGGCGGAGGAGTTATTTTCTGTTCGTTCAGAGCTTATCAATCATCCAAATGTTTTAAGCAGCTGCTAACCAATACTGTAGAAGAGCCAGCTTTCGGAAAAGGCCAGAGTTGAAAAGTGGGGATGTTTCTGTTTTGGGAACTTAATATCTACGGAAAAGGACATGTTTGCTTTTTAACCTCTGTTTTCTTGCAGAATAATTCATGCGTTACTGCGCTAAACTTGGGACAAACGCGGTGCAAGGTGAGAATGTGAAGCCGTGGAGAGGGAACCAAGTTAATGTCGCTTTTTTTTTTTGAGTAGCTCTTGTGATAGTGGCTGCCTGTCCTCACCCTGATCTTTCTGGGGAGGACGGATTTGTTTCCCTTTTACAGAGGATATGTTTGCTTCAGTGCTCTCTCAGCCCTATATGGAGATGACCCCGAGGGGTTTTTTTTAGCCTGTCTGGCAGTGGATTGTAGTGGATTCAGCTTCTGAAGTAACCCAGTCTGGTTGATGCAAGCATAGCTTGGTACCTTGAGTACCCCAAAAACACTGAAATTCAGCTTCAAACTATCATGTGGCAGCTCCCTTTGGAGAGGGGACGTGAGTGCTTCTCTGTGCCCTGCCAAGCACCAGATGCTCGAGTACAACGGCGTTATTTAACAGTGACACTTTTGTATGACATTTTTTAAAGTCATCTTAATAATGGCTTGAGCTTGCTAGTTGTTTGTTTACTGTATAATACTGTACCTTGCTATGGTCATTAATATGAAATTGGTGTCAAGAGCTCTTACCAGACTACTTTTTAGGGTAGTTTTAACGAAATTAGGATGGGTTCTTTTTTTTTTTTTTTTACTTTTATTCCTGTATTTAGGTTTTTGGTTTTGTTTGTGCTTTGAGACAAGTGCAATAAACTAGATTTTTAAGAAAGAAACGACTGTGGTGAGCCTCATCTGTTGTGTGATTCGCAAGAGACTTCTCTGTGTCTGGAAATTATCTCGATGCAAAGACAGACTTGCTTATGAAACCCCTCCCCTGCTGTTACCCCAGACAGTATTACAATGGCTGTGTAAGGACCTGGATATTGGAAAGTTTATTTCATATATTTTTTAAAATTGTGACAGGCGTGTCAAACCAGCAAAGACAACTAAAACACTTCACGTATTTGAATATTAAGCTTATCGCCTCCATATTAAGGCAGTCTTGCTGTCATAGAAATAAACCCGTTTCTCCCCTTCCATCCTAAACAAAAATTGCCCTTGCATGTTAAATATTCTAGGTTTCAGTGAAAAATACACATGTGTGGTCACAGCTCGAACGTGTTGGAGCAGAAAATAGGTGGTGGTACCTCGTGCCGTAAAACATCGGAGCTCATCTGAAGACTTCCTGTGTTTCTGGCCTTGAACTGCAGCTGCGGCGTCAGGAGAGCACCTTGGCTTCACCTCCCATGGGAGAGCTGCTTCCTGCCAGAGCTGCCCTGGGTAACTTCACACAAGAAAGCATAGCCATGACTAACGCTAATTCTGACTCTTAAACCCGCTTCCAGCCGCAGGAATCCTGCTGGGATGGCAATGCCCTTGCTAATTATCACAGATCCTGACGTACCGGTTCAGCTGGCTCCTCGTAGTCTCCGTGCAGCACCAGCCCTTGCTGTAACGCAGGAGGGATCCTTGTGTCGCAGCTTGAGGAAGTCCAACTGGGATGAGTTGGTGTGAAACAGCCACCTCAGGTATGTAGGTAACTCTTGATTTTCTTATCTTGCAGCAATAAAGAGGAATACCATCATGTTCAGTAACACACAGGGAATCAGTCACTGACAAGCGTCAAAGAAAATACGTTAATTGCTTAAGTAAGATCGTAGAAGTGTTGTCAGGAAGCAAATGCAAATGAGGAGGACTTAATTAGGAACACTTAATTATAGAACTTGTGTCATTGTTTAAACACAGCTTTATTTATACAGGTACAAAGGGTCACGTTCATACCAAGGAGTCCCTGTGATGGGATGGGCAAGAATCTCACCTCTTCCCCACACACACACGGACATCAGAAGCTCTGAACCCCGTAACTCCTCTGTTACTTCTCAATAGATGAGTCCTGTCAAGTATCTCCAAGGCGTTTTTGGGTTATTTCAGACTAGCGTGGCATTCTGGCTTATCCTTTTGCTTCTTGTAAAACTGCCTTTAATGGCTGAGCTGTTGCTTATTTTCTGCTGGAGCTCTGGATGGATTTCAAGGAAAAAACCTTGAGACAGCTTTTCAGTGAATTTGTTCTGAGTGTAAAGGCTTGAAATCCAAGTGCCTGTGTGCTTATGGCTGTGCCTTGTTAATTAGCAGTTAGAAAAGCATAAATCATATATGAAGATAGGGAAATCTGCGCATTACTTTAATGAAGAACTGATTTACAGGTTTTACATTAACCTGCCCCAGCCACATCCCATCCCTGCTGTCAGAAGCAGAGAAATAAGGTCTGGGTGGAGTATTTCCAGCTGTAAAAAGCAAGACACAGGGCTGTATTCTTCATGTAGCCTTCCTCAAAGTGAAAGTTCTGCGTTGGAAATAGTATTATAAAGTGGCAGGTAGCCAGCACAGAAAGCTGATGCTTCCCTTGCCAAACAAAGTGGATCAGCCTGGTTGTTATTGTAGTTATTGAAGTTAAAAATAACCACTCTGGCATCAGCAGGAGAGAACTGGTCACGTAGAGGACTGGGTTTTAATTACTGGGAAATGAAAGTTGAGTTGCAATCATTCCCTTTTGTGAGTTGTTACAGCCAGAGCTCCACTGATAGAGACTAAAATATCTCCATAAATGAAGTGATCTCCTCAGGCTGCTGATACGGCGATACCTGGGTTTATCACGTCAATAGCTGTGGATTTCTCATCATCTGAAATGAAGAAGTGAGGGTTTGGGTTCAGAAATGTTGTAGGTAATACTGGTGTCATACTGGAAACCAGGTGAAATTACCAGTAGGATTTCTTTGGTCGTTGAGTTTATCTGACTCGAAATCTGTTTGAACTGGTCTATCAGAGCTGTTATATCAGCCATAAAGTTAAAATCCCACGTTTGATGCTGTTAGGGGGGAAAAAAGTGCTGTAGGAAAAGTAAAGATCTGCTTGAGAAACTTCATGTTATGGAATGTGGACTTTTTGTGTGTATATATAAACATACACATACATAAAAGCTGATTTCTGTTCTCTAGAAGCTAATACAATGGAAATAAAATACCAAAAAATACTACATCTTTCAAACTGAAACATGCCCTGTCTATCTTGGCCCTCAGAAATGACTGAAGTATACTGATTTTATAGGCTGTCCTTATCTAGGGCACCAAATAGTGCACAACTGAACAGCACTGACTGGAGCTGTAGTTATGAGTTAATCTTTCAAACATTATTCACTATTTCTCTCCAATGCAGAAGAAACCATTGATTTAATTTTCCATTTTAATACACCTCTCATAACCTCAGCTGAGATTCACTTCCAGCACAAAGAGGTAAAGAAAAAGAGACTTCAATTTACAATGCCTATGTTTTGAATCTCATATCCAGAGAAAAAGACTTGTACAGAATTGTGTTAAGGTCCTGGACTTGCCATCTTGAATTTGTAGCAGTTGACTTTGTGCTTTGTTTGTAGTTTAATCAGTGTAGTGAGCCCTTGCTTTGTTGTGATGGGTGTGCATAGGTGTTTTGGATACATGATGGAGGAGTGACATTGATGTTACGTTATATGTGAAATGAGAATACCCAGTAGATGACTGCTTGCTGAAGTTACCCTGCTGTGCTTTGCTTAACCATGGGCTGGAGACATCACAGAATGGTTTGGGTTGGAGGGACCTTTACAGCTGATCCA